CCCCAGGATGGAAGCACTCCGAGGGCAGGGCCTGGTCTGTCTCTCTCTCTCTCTCTACGAGAGGCTGTCCCATTCACAACATTCTTCAGGGATGAAGCCCAGTTGTCATTATGTAAGGGACATTCAAAGCTGGCAGACTTCCTTGCAAGCTCTTTGGGCATAGAATATTCCTTCCTAAGTGTAAATAATTTAAGAGAACATGACTAAGCAGCTGCCCCCTAAGAGGGCTCTTTAAAGCCCAAATCGTGGCTTCTGCTTCTCCTATGGCTCATCCTCTGTGGGCCATCCTCTGCGTCCTGGAATGGTCTGAACCTGGTACTACAGAGGCAAGGAGGATGGTGCAGGACACCCACAGCCCTGGACACAAGCTTGCTGAACTGTCTGGGGTGAGGAGAAGCTAAGTGGGCTTCCTGTCTGGTGGGGGTAACAACTGGCTTCTAGCGGAACAGAATGATTCTCCACGCCCCCAGGAAAGCTCCCCTCAGCGAAGTCCCTCCAAGTTCAAAAATGCTTCCATCTTTCCACCTGGCCTTCCTGCCTCCTCTCTGCCCCCTTCTGGAGTGGGTGGTCTCGTTGGGGAAAACGGGATGATGCTCTGGACTCTAGAGGGGGAGGGAACAGGTAAAATGATGTGAGGATTAGCAATATGTGTAGTTTAAGGTACAGGGAAAGAATCTTCCTAGGGCCAAAAATATGCCCCCTCTTTTCCCTGATACATGAACCATCGTTAAGAGGGGTAGAGTCTTGCAATAGCGACATCTTTTTTTGCATAATGCCTCACTGTTTACAAAGTGCTCCTACACACTCTTGCCCCATTTGCTCCCTGAAGCCATGCCCTGGGGGCAGCTTTATTTTCCCACTTTGTAGAGGGAGAAACCAGTGACCCGAGAAGCTGCTGGTCCCTGGTCCTTTAGTGAGTAAATAATGGCAGAGGGCACACCTGTAACCAGCGTCCTGACTCCAAATCCTAAACCCTTCTGCCAGCATTGAATAGGGAGATTGCAGGGAGATCACAAAGACTTAAAACAACATTTTGGGTGTGCGAAAGTGGGATTTCACAGGCCAGCGGGCAGGACAGCTTAGAAAGCACTGGGTGCAGAAGGGAAGTGAGAGGTAGGAAGGAGAGAAAGGGGGACAGGGGGAGAGGTGGGCTTGGAGCTCTTTGGGCTTCCTCCCACGGGGTGGGCTTCCTCCCATGGGGTGGGCTTCCTCCCATGGGGTGGGCTTCCTCCCACGGGGTGGGCTTCCTCCCATGGGGTGGGCTTCCTCCCACGGGGTGGGCTTCCTCCCACGGGGTGGGCTTCCTCCCATGGGGTGGGCTTCCTTGTCAGCCAGCAAGAGTGGAAACGTGCTCAGCAGAGGGGAGACTTTTACTCGCATTTATGATGTTTTACCGGGAAAAGGGGGGATGTCTTATGAAAGAAAGCGGGAGGGTAAGAATGACATTCCTAAGTTTTTTTCTTCTTTTGATTACTGATGTCACAATTCTTAAATGAAGAGGAGAATGGGGCAGTGCAATCCCCCATTACTTTGAAATAGACCAATTTATTT